CAGCACTGTTTATAATAGCCAGGACATGGAAGCAACCTAGATGCCCATCAGCAGACGAATGGATAAGGAAGCTGTGGTACATATACACCATGGAATATTACTCAGCCATTAAAAAGAATTCAAAGATGCTAATGAGACACGCAAGAGACGCCTGCCCTCCACAGAGGGGCCCCACCTGCCACAGCTACAGAAAGTGCGTGTACAGTAAGGAAAACCCAGTGCAGCCAAAAAGCAAACAAATAACATGGTCTGAACGGACACGTGCACCCCAGTGTTCATTGCAGTACTCTTTACAGCATCCAAGACATGGAAGCAAGCCTACATATCCATCAACAGAGGAATGGATGAAGATGTGATACATACATACAATGGAATATTACCCAGCAATTAAAAAGAAGGAAATAATGCCATTTGCAGGATACCATATGATATCCCTTATATGCAGAATCTAAAAAGAACGCATACAAATGAACTTACTGACAAAACAGATACAGATTCACAGACAGAGAATGAACCTGTGGTTGCCAGGGACAGAGAGTAGGGGGAAGGCATAGTTAGGGAGTTTGGGATGGACATGTAAACACTGCTATATTTAAAATGGATAACCAACAAGGACCTACTGTATAGCACAGGGAACTCTGTTTATTGTTATGTGACAGCCTAGTTGGGAGGGGAGTTTGGGGTAGGAATGGATACATAAATGTGTGTAGCTGACTCCCTTTGCTGAACACCTAGAACTATCACTACATTGTTAATCAACTATACTCCAATCAAATAAAAAGTTAGAAAAAAAGTGCTGTAAAATACTCAGCCTTGTGTCTGTTGCATGGTTAATGCTTAATAAATTTTAACTCTTTAATCATTGTGAATACATTCCTGAATTTACAAATATTCATTCATCATGGTCATTTGTAAATGAATGTACTTGGGATAAATTTGTTTTACATATAAAGTAGATTTTTGTAATCTATCTAAAGAACCTACCTGGTACATAGTGTACCTACAGTATAGTGTAATAAAATGCTGAAACCTAGTCTCCCAAAATAATATTTCTATAGAAAATGGCATTCAGGATTCCACTTTGAAGTTCCTCCTCTTTGTACTCTTACTAAGGAAATTGGAACTCTAAAAGCATGGTACATCAGTGAGTTGAAAAAAAGGGAATAAGAGTAAGGTTTTGCAGCATGATATGTGGAAAAAGGCTAAAGGAAGGGTTTTTAACCTGATATCTGTAGCTTCAGGGAATCCACCAATCAGTAGTAGCCATGCAATGGTATTTTGTGTGTGAGAGAAATATTTTTTCAGACATAACTCATTAGAAGCTGCCAGTTTTCCTGTTATTCTTCTAGAGATTTATTTGTTTCTAGAATTTCATTGAGATGTTGACAATTGTTTTGTTGAATACTCTAGGTTGTTTCATGCAGATACAGATTTACTAAAAGGAATGGATTCTGTCAATGATACCAAGCCACTTCAGCCATAAATCTGGCACTCTGTCATGGTCTCCTGTTAACTTGCAGATGTCTGTCATCAGAATTTTCTGTTTATATTCAATACGTTAGCCAAAGTTACAAGCTTTTTACTACTCACTTGTGATGCTCTTTTGTGAAACAGATATTAACTCAGTACTGTAATCATAACTGGACTCCCCTGGCAGCTCAGACAATAGAGGATCTTCCCGAAGTGTGGGAGGCCAGGTTTGATCCCTGAGTCCACAAGATCCCAGGGAGAAGGAAATGGTTACCCACTCCCGTATTCTTGCCTGGAGAATTCCATGGACAGAGGAGCCTGGTGGGCTACAGTCCATGGGATCACAGTCAGAGATGACGGAGCAATGAACACTTTCACACTTTTCATAATCATAATTATATAACAACTCACAATCTGAAACCTGTAATATCTCAATACCATCTAAATCAACCATTTCCAAAATGACTGTTAATAAATAAGAGCCATGTATAAAATGGGAATCCCAATACATTTTTGATACACAACACTTTTTAAGCTTAGCTTATTAGTTTGTTTTTTTAAAAAACAAATGATGGTTTTTAACTTAAATCCCATTTGACTGCATTGGCAATTCTCCAGCCAATATGCTCTTTTTTTTACATTTAAGATCAACTCTATCCTCTGCCAGTAATCTGTTGATGTGTTACTGTAACACAGGTGTAGAAAATAAAATCTTATTCTTCAGTATCATTTACAGTCATATTTTACTTTCAGTGTTTCTCTTCCACAAGTCTGCAGAAAATATAAATGCTTAACTATGTTGTTAAATGTTGTTAACTATGAAGAACTTAGAAATCATTAAAAATACCTCTGAAAATTAGAATCATCAATCTCCCTCAGGAATTCAGTGTGGCTGCAACTAGCAAGCAATATTCTTTTATAATTTGCTTACATTTCTCATATTTTAAGATTTTTATTTTGCTTCCATTAAAGAAAACTTGTTGACCTTTCTTAGGTACAGAAGATATTTGCATGATTAAGGAAAGTATTGTAGTTAAGGGACTGAATTATTGAGCCAGATTGCTTGAGTTTAAATTCCAGGTGTACAATTTTCTGACGTAAGTGACAGTGGGCAAGTTATTTAACTAACTTCTCTATGCCTTAGAGGTTGTTTTTAATGCATTTCTTCATATATAAAATGGAGAGATTAATATTACCTACCTCATGGGTGATTATGACGATTAAATGAATAAAAAGCAGTTCCTAGAAATTAGTGTTGTTTTGTTAATGTTGCCTCAAAATTTTTTACAATGATCATTTTCCATTTTTTTAAAAAATAGACTTTTTATTTATTTACCATACTTTAATAATTTTCATTTGCTTCTCCAGAAACCCAAAGCTGCAGTAGAGCTTTGGAGACAGAAAACTTGCTTCTAAATCCTGATTATAGTTTTTAAATTTATAAAAGTTTCAGTTTGTACATGTATGAAATGGGTACTATAAGAGAACATATATCATAAGCTTAGTGTGATGATTAAATTAAATGTACAAGTACAGCCTTTGCCAGTGCCTGGTACACATTAAGTGCTCAGGAAGTTGTAGCTGTTATCATTACATGTTAAATGCCCTAATAATTTATGCCTGCAACTGAATGCCAAGTAACTGAATCAGCTGTGAGGACTGAAAAGATTATTTCTTGGCTATTAATATACATCTTAATTGTCTCTCTGCGACCGCTTTACATTCACCTTGGGATTCACTAATACTCAATTTTACTTCCCACAAAGTATACTTATTTATTTAACAAATAAATGTCTTTCTCTCTGTGTATTTATCTGATCTAACTTTCAGTTTCTGAGCACTGGGCCTAGTTGACTGAAATTAACTTCATTAAAATTTTTATCTTTAGAAGACTGTTTATGGGTATTCTTTTCTCCAAGCTGGGACTAGTGCTATCTTATTAAGAGTAGCAGGGTTCAACCATCTGTAAAAACAACTATGGGTCCTGGAGGGATTGCCTGTTGTATTCTGGGGAAGCTAAGGATTATAAAGGCAGCTCTGAATTATCAGGTAACACAGTGACTGAATTATAAAATTTGGTCATTCAGTCCATGGAGATTTGAATCAGGAAGATTATTAACCTTGAAAGTTCCCTCCTGTCTCTCCATCAGGCCTCCGGAAACTGCCTTGAATTGTGAATTCCTTTTATTTGACTAGGTTTTAAAATATAAATATAAGACTCTTTTATCTCATTCTCAAGAGTATATATACAACATTCTCAAGAGTATATATACAAGTTTTTTTGCAACAGACTTGTCACCATAGGAATTGTATTTTATGATTTGAAATGAGACTAAACTTCTCTGATGAGTACTAGTAAGCTCTGTTTTTCGATTAGTGAAGAGACCTATATTCAGCTGGTAATGCTTTCCATAGGTTTTTAGGTAGTCAAGGCTTCTTATTGAAAATTAACAAAATTGAAATGGGGTGCCTGAAGTTAACACTGCCTTTTTTTCTTCAGTTGGAGACACATGTACACTTCTTTTCTCATGAGAAAAGATGTAAGTTTTAGGTAGTTCAAACAGCTAAGTTTGTTAAAACTATGCAAATCATTTAGTAATAATACAAGTTTATATTTAGTATGTTTTCTTTTGTAGGTTTCCTCAGTTACTGGCGTGGCAATTTGGCAAATGTTATCCGGTATTTTCCAACACAAGCTCTAAACTTTGCTTTCAAAGACAAATACAAACAACTGTTCATGTCTGGAGTTAATAAAGAAAAACAGGTAATTATTTTTTATTATTTTTTGATTGAATGAAAGATTCTTTAAATTATTTAGTGCTTTGTAGCTTTTAGAAGTCTCACATACGTAACTCAGATTATCCCGCAGTAACCCTTTCCCCCACACTCCGATCAGCGCCACTTCCCTTTCCTCACTGGTGACCACTAGTTTGTTTTGTGTGTCTGTGAATCAGCTGCTTTTTTGTTTTATTCACTAGTTTGTTGTGTTTTATAGATGCCACATAGAAATGATATCGTGAAGTATATATGTCTTTTTCTGACTTACTTCATTTAGCATAATGCCCTCAGAGTCTGTCCATGTTGCTGCAAATGGCAAAATTTCGTGCTTTTTAATAGCTCAGTAGTATTCCATTGTTGATATATATCACATCTTTTTTATCCATTCATCTGTTGATGGACACTTGGATTGATTACATACCTCTACAGTCTTGGCAGTTACAAATAATACTGCCCTGAACATTGGGGTGCCTGCATCTTTTTGAGTTGTGTGTTTGTATTTTTTGGAGATATACCCAGGGGTGGAATTGCTGGATCATATGATAGTTCTGTTTTTAGAAAAAGAAGGTAGTTATATTTTAATATCTCTAAAATTTTCTAAGTAGTAGTTGGATTTTCCTTACCTGAGGTATTTTTTTTCCAGTTAGAGCATAGCTGATTTACAATATTGTGTTAATTTCTGCTGTATAGCAAAGTGAGGCAGTTAGACATGTATATATACATTCTTTTTAATATACTCTTCCAGTATGGTTTATCCTAGGATATTGAATATCGTTCCCTATGCTATACAGTAGAACCTTGTTTATCCATCATATATATAGTATTTTATTTCTGCTAGCCCAGCCTCTCCCTCCTCCCCCCCTCACCCCACCATACCCCTTGGGAACCACAAGTCTGTTCTCTATGTCTGTGGGTCTACTTCTGTTTTGTAGATAGGTCCATTTCTGTTATATTTTAGATTTCACATATAAGTGATGCCATACTTCTTTCTGAGTTACTTCACTTACTGTGATCATCTGTGGTTACATCCATGTTGCTGCAAATGGTGTTATTTCATTCTTTTTTATAGCTGTTATTTTCCATTATATATGTACAACATCTTCTTTATCCATTAAAAAACCTGTGGAGTTTTATTTGGGGAGGAGGTGCTCAAGTAGTGGAAAAAATAATAGTTAAAGCATAATAACTGTTAGCATATTATAATATGTGTTAAGTCATAGAAATTACATATGGAAATTTAGAATTATATTAACTTTTACAAGTTTCTATAAACCTCTTAACACAAATTTAATAACTAAGGGATCTTTAGTTGGAACTTGTAATAGTTGGAACTTCTTTTGACTATGGACTTGTATCACAGAGTCCCCAAGACTGTCTTCATGTTCATTGATTGAGTAGGGCCTCAAAGAACTCAGAAAAGCTATTATATTCCTGGTTTATTACAGCAAAAAAGATGTAGATTAAAATCAACAAAGGGAAAAAGCACATAGGACAATATCCAAGAGAAACTAGGTGCAAGCTTCTCGGTGTCCTCTCCTAGTAGACTCAGCTGAACAACACTTAGTTCTCCCAGCAATAATGTGAGACCACACGTATAATATACTGCCAGATAAGGTTGCTCACTTGAGCTGTGGTGGTCAGGTCTTTTGGGAGGGGATTCAGTTTCACAGGCATGTATAATAGACTGATCTTAGCTACTCGTCTCCAGCTACGGCTGCCACCTACTCAAAAGGTCAAACTGATATAATTCAGCCCAGAGCCCCAAGTATACAAAGAGGTGTTCACCATAAATCAGTGTTAGTATAAACTATCTGGTGTTGCCAAAGCTTCTGGCATATAAAGACAGTCTTACTAGATAGGATATTCCATGGGCTCAGAAGGTTACGGCAAAGGAACCTTTGAGTTTGGTCAAGGAGGGAGATCTTTTCAGTATGTGCCGGGTTTGGGCAACACAAGCCTGCTGAGTTAACCCTTTACTGAACATTTTCCACCCTATCTACCCCAAAAGATAATTCCTGTAAAACTAAGCCAGATGGAGTGATTAACTCCAGAATTAACTAGAAAACTTATGTTACTAACACCTGTCCCTAACAGTGTAAATAACATGGCTCTAAAAGTTTCAGTTAACTCTGATCTCTGTTAAAACTTTGTAATAAATTTCAAATCAGTAGAGGTTGAGGTAAAAACATTTTTAGTATGCTTCTAAAGAATATGCTAGCACTTTCCTGCTGGTCCAGTGATTAAGACTCCATACTTCTAATACAGGGGGCACAGGTTCAGTCCCTGGTTGGGAAACTGAGATCCCACATGCTGCAAGGTGTGGCCAAAAGATAAGAAAAGAACAATGAAAAAGAAAGAACATGCAGTCTATGTAAAGATATTCAGTCACAAGTAATATGTATGTTTAAATATATATTATTTATTAAATGTGGCTACTAGTGACCCTTCTATTTCTGCCCTTAGACATCAAAATTTTCACCTATCTCTGTTCCTGCTCTAAGAAAAGTGAAAAAAAAAAAACCCTGAAAATGAAAATTCAGTATTTTGGGTTTCTTACCTGGTTTTCAAAGAAACATTGAAGATAGTAAAAACAAGTACAGTGTATGTGATTTAAAAGTGGTTGGTCTACCACAGTAAATATCTCTACATGCTTCTCGGGATGGCTGCACTGGTGACAATATTAGGTGTTGGCAAGGATTCAGAGAAGCTGAATTTTACACTGCTGGTGGGAATGTAAAATGATCTTGCCGCTTTCAAGAGAGTAATGACAGTTACTTACAACTAAACATATGCTTATCATACAGTCCAACTCTTGAGCATTTATCCCAGAGGAAAAAAAAAACCTCTGTTCACAAAAAAGCAAAGTATACAATGTTCATAGAAGATTGTTTCATAATAGGCAAAAATTTGGGAATAACCCAGATGTCCCAGGTGAATACTTAAACTGTAGTACATAACACCATAGAAGGTCACTCAGCAATGAAGAGAAACACCTTTTGATAAAACAAGTATTGTATGATCCTCTTGGGATCTAGAAAAGGCAAATTCATAGAGACAAAATAGAACAGAGGTTGCCAGGGGTAAGGGGGAGGGACATTCTTTAATAGGTACAGAGTTTACGTTTAGCATAATGAAAAGTTCTGGAAATAGTAATGTTTATACAGTGTTGTCCTTAATGCCACTGAATTATACACTTAAAATGCCTGAACAGTAAATTTTACCATACAGTTTTAAAAAAGAACAAACATGATACAAACAGCAACTTTGAATGCTAACTGAAAAGATACCAATCTCAAAAGACATTTGCCTTCTGATTTCACTTGTTTACCATTATTGAAGTAAGAATATTATAGAGATGGAAAACATAATAGTGGTTGCCAGGAGAGAGGCAGGTGGCTATAAAGAGGTCCATAAATGGAGGATCTTTATCATGGAACTGTTCACTGTGATAATTGGTGGTCATATGAATCTGCACATATGATAAAATGGCATAGAACTAAATACACACACAGATAAGTGCGTAAAACTTGTGAAATCTGAATTAGGTAGATTTCCATCAATGTTAATTTTCTCTACTATAGTTATGCTGGGCTTCCCTGGTGGCTCCGTGGGCAAAGACTCCTCCCGCAGTGCAGGAGTCACAGGAGAGTCGGGTTTGATCCTTGGGTTGGGAAGATCCCCTGGAGGAGAGCATGGCTACCCGCTCCAGTATTCTTGCCTGGAGAGTCCCATGGACAGAGGATGGCAGGCTCCATGCAGTCCATGGGGTCATAAAGAGTCAAACACGACTGAGGCCCCTGAGCATGCACACACGTCATTATGCTAGAGACTGTCTTTGGGGGAAATTGCTTGAAAAGTTTATAGACTTCATATGTACTAGGATGCATGTGAATCTGCTATTATGTCAGACTAAAAGGTTTTTAAAAATAACCATGGTAGGGAGCTGTGTGCCTACTATATACTCTTTCACTGAATTTTTACCTTGCCCTTTGAGATAGTTCTTTTTACCCCAAGTGTACAGATAAGGAAAACAAAACAGAGCTTAAAGCACTTGCCCTAGTCATTTGTCCATGTCTTTCTAATTCCCAAATTCAGTTCTTTCTACCATACTCTTACTCCCCTCATCTGAGGTGACTCAACTAGATGAGTGTTAGCTGGACCTGGGCATAAATGTGTCTCTGCTGCTGCTAAGCAGCTACCAGCACAACCCTCAGTGAAGACTGGAGCTTCCTGCTCTCTTCCATGCCCACACGTACTGTTAGAAAGAACTTTGGTCCCAGGTGTTTGTGCTTGGAGGCAGCTTATCACCTATTAGTCAACAGTTGAAAATGAATAGGGTTATTTTCCTCCAAACCCCCTAAACTCTCTTATTCTCCTTTCCTGATTCCTTTCACTCCCTCTCCGTTTACAGTTTGGTGGCGGTGCTCAGTCGTGTCCGACTCTTTGCTACGCCGTGGCCTGTAACCCGCCAGGCCCCTCTGTCCCTGGGATTTCCCAGGCAAGAATACTGGAGTGGGTTGCCATTTCCTACTTCAGGGGATCTTCCCGACCCAGGGATTGAATCCACATGTCTTTCATCTCCTACATTGGCAGGCAGATTCTTTACCACTGTGAAGCCCCTTTTACAGTATAGTGATATCTGAAATTACAAACTTAAAAAACAACTTCTGGGTCTGTTTTATTTTCAAGCTTAATTGTGGAGGGACAGACTTTATCTGTTACAGAAACACTTGCAGAATTATCATTTAGCATAGAGTCTTCTTATCTCCTTCTTCCCTCCTTTCATCCTCCTTAACCTTCCCTGCCTTCCTTCCCCTTGTAGTTTGGCCATACTATTTATACATTTTGTGCCTGCCTGCATTGCTTTCTCATAGCCCCACTTTCACTATCAGAGGGGTCCCTGTTTGAATAGTAAACTATGTAAATTATATAATCATTTACCCCAGAAAGTTATGGATCTGTTTTCTTTCTCTTATCTAGGAAGGAAATAGAAGGTTAAATTGAACTTAAGATGCACTTTATAAATCTTTGTGCTGCATAGCCTATTTTATTTGGCCTATTTGCTTGTAAGAAGCAGAGAAGTTACTTCAAGAAAAAGACGTATTTACTGCAGTGGAATTTGAACCACCGGCAGCTATAGGGATCAGACTATACTTTTTAGCTTTGTTTCCCAGGTCAGTTAGTTTATCTCTGTCTGTAATGATCTGGTTTTTTGTGCATATATATTTGCTCTGCATTTTCTCATTATTGCCCACCTTTTTTACTTCCCTATATTTTATTTCTTTTAAGTTCAGTGTTAATATCATAGTGATTCCTACTAACCTTTCAAGTGGAGGGGGGGGTTCTTTACCTGAGATCCATGCATACTTGAGGAATAATTTAAACTTTTACAATAAAATTGTGTTTATATATGTGAGATTTTTATTGGAAGAGTATCTGTAGTTTTCAACAGTCTCAAAGTAGACTGAAACCTAAAAACATTATTTAATGTTTTTTCTGTTTCTGTCCTTACTGTTAACTGGCCTAGAATTTCTAGATTCACATTTCTAAGATTTAAACTGTGGCCTAGCTCCTCTTTTTCTGCCGGATTACATATCATCTTCCAAACTATCGATTAGCTACCTTCTGGTCTCATTATCTCTATGTGATTATGAACCATGGCTTATCTGTACAGTAGAACTTACGAGTTTCATGTTAAAAGGCACTGTGGGAGTCCAAGTACCCTTCATTAAACAAATATTTATTGAACGCATTACTCTTACTCTGGACAAGGCCCTATGACTTGCTTTGTGAAATAAACAAATGAATTAAGAATTCAGGCCTCAAAAAATGTAGACAACCTAATTGTCCATGCAACTGATATGGATAAAAAAAATGTGATAAGTCAGTAAAGACTATTTGTCAATGAAAAGGAATGAAATGCTAACACATGCTGCACATGGTACAGCACGGATGAACCTTACAAACACGTGTGAAGGCAGCCGGCCACGAAAGACTGCTTGCTCCATGTACGGGGGTGTCTCGAATAGGCAGGTCTATGGGCAGAAAGTTGCTTAATGGTTATGCTGGGTTCAGGGAGGTGGGAAAGATAGGGAGTGACTGCTGATGTGTACAAGGTTTCTTTTGGAGTGATGAAAATGTTCTGAAACTGATAATGGTTGCAGAACTCTGATACACTAACAATTCATTGATTTGAATATATGGGTGAACTGAACAGTAGGTAAATATATCTCAGTAAGTAAAAATAAAAATAATTCTGGCCTGTAGAAATTTATAGTCCGTAGAAAGTAAAACAAGACAGGTATACAAATAATTGTAAATTGAAAGTAGTCATTGTAAATACTGGTTTTAAAAAAAGAATCTGGAACATGTTGATACGTTTTACATATTGATCACATGATTTACCTTTAATTCTCTGAGAGAGGAAGTATTTATAGAAAGAGGGTATGATTACATATAGTTTTGAGTGAGCTGAAGATAAGAGAATTCATGAAAGAAACAGAATTTGAATTAGAGCATAAATCAATAGCTTTTTGTTTATAAAAGGTAGGAAGAAAATTAAAAAGATAGAAAGGGCATTCCAGGCCAGGAGAAAATAGAGAGTTCCAAAGCGGAGACTGGGAGACGTAAACTTATTTTTGGAAATAAGAGCCACAAGAGGGAGGGAATGTGTGTGTTCGTGTAGCTGATGTGTGTTGTTGTGCAGCAGAGACCAGCACAGCAATTATCCTCCTATTAATACTAAATCAAAAAAAAAAAAAAAATAGGCGTTAGAGAAGCAAGAAACTGAGTTTGACTAGGAGGGTTACAGCAGTCTTGTACCCTAGGTTTTCTGTAAGAACACCAGTTCAAATATTCCTTTCTTTTCCTTGAGCGCTAGATGTTGAAAAGCAGTTTATTGGACCTAAGCAGAGAACATTTCAAATGTTTATCAAGAAGAACCTCAACAGCCTGTGTGAACTAGTAGATCAGTAAGGTCTTCCATGCCACTCAGCCACATTATAATTGATTTCTGCCAATTTACATTTGGCATTTGAACATAGTCTATATTTTTGAGCTGTTTAAATTTATTTTTACTAAAACTACAAAGTGAAATTGTGGCATTATGATATATTACTGTCCCTCTCCACTGCCACCAAGAAAGGGAACAGCTGAGGCCTCCACAGATGCCTAACATTTTAGTAATAAAAAGATATATTAATAATAAAAAGCTTTATACAGTCTAAAGAGTGGAGTATCTTATGTGACTTCTTGTGCTAATCTGGTCTGCTTTTGCTGGAGCATATTAAAATATCTTGGAATTTCAATATGTCAGCATCTAACCTGTATCTCCTAGACTGCCTGGTTAAGAAACAAAGCCTACATGGACATGAGGGGAAGTATTTTGGATGATAATATATGCTTATTTATTTTAGGTGTTTATTTTATAAAAGGATCTTGTAAATCTGGCTTTTTAACCTTATAAAAATAAAGGATTTTTTAAAATCAGATTCTATAGTTTAATAACTACTTTTTAATTAATATGTTTCAGTTTTGGAGGTGGTTTTTGGCAAACCTGGCTTCTGGTGGAGCTGCTGGGGCGACATCCTTATGTGTAGTTTACCCACTAGATTTTGCCCGAACCCGATTAGGTGCTGATATTGGAAAAGGTACGGAATTATTAGAAATACTAACTCTTCCTTCTTTGTGTTTTTGAACACTGTATTATTTATCATAGTTATGCTTTTAACAGTAGTGTTGGATTCTACTTAAAATTTTTATTCTCAACCAAATGGTAAAGTCATAGAGCCTAAAGATTACTACTTTTTTCTTTTCTTTTACGCGAGGGAAAGGAAGGCCAACACTATAATAACAAAAAAGTAAGCCACAAAGAGCACTTTAACTTCTGGTTTGTTTCTATTTTTGTTATTTAGAGAGCCATCCCCTAGATCCCTTCATGCCCTTATTTACCTGTCTTGACTGTGGGCCCCTTTCTAGGTTACGTGTATAACTCTCACCCTAGATTCCCTTTTCCTCTATCCTTACTTATTTATCATATCTTTCTGTGTTTCTTCATACCCTTGTTTTGGTAGATGCATTCTTTGATAGCTTTCTGAGGAGGGTGGATAGGAGATAAAGTGAGATCTTGGCTGTCTGAAAATGTCTGTTTCACTCTTAATATTTGGCCATATGTTCATTTTCTTTCACAATTTTGAAAGCATTACTCTGGAGCCTAGTTTCTAATACTGCTCTTAAGAAATCATTTTCTTACTGCTGATCCTTCTGTAGATGGCTTTTTTTCTTTTTTTCTGGCTTCATTCATTGTATTTTTCTCATATAAAACTATATGATGGCTATGTGGAGGCTGGGTCCTCTGCACGGAAACTCTAGTGTGAGTCTTTACGAGTTGGTCAGAGAAGTCCTGATACAGAGACGTGGTGAACAACATCTCTTCCCAGAGATCAGGAGTAAGATAACTGTAGGTCTTGGAAATGGCATCAGAAGTGGCCCTGGCAAAGTTGCCCAAGGTTACGTGGCAGCCCCTGGCAGAGGTGCGGCAGTTGTCAGTCCAGCCATCATCAGTAGCTTCTTGGGCACAGAGGCTAGGCAGCGCCAGTGCTCCCGAGGACAGGGATGAGGCGTCGCAGCACTGAGCCGCAGCAGCGGGCTGTCACCGTGTCAGAGACAGTGTGGGGCTCGATCTTCTTGTCTCCCCAGGAGCCTCACAGCACAGAGATGATGGAGAGCTTGGCCAGGTGGTGGCCCCGCGAATGGCAGTGGCTACCTCCTGAAGCACTTGACACCCAAATTGACATGTCTCCTGTAATCCCCAGTGGTGACAAAATGTCTCGACCCTGGTCCACTGGCCAGCACCGGTCTGCTTTTGCATAGGCATAATCTTTAAAACCTTGCCCTTGAGGGATGTCCCAGGACAGTTATTGTTCTCAAAAGTCAGTGATCTCAGATTGCCTGATGGGCACAAGAAGTGGCTTGATTTTCTTGTCGTTGACCAGGCGGCCCGGCTTGGTGATGTCCTTGGCTTTGCCTTGGCAGGCTCTGCAACCTCAGCCCTGGACACCGGTGCCGCTGCCGAAGCCTCCGCAGAAGCCACCGTGCCTTCCCATTCCAGGGCCTCCAGGACACCCCCCCGCCACAGCACATTTATCATCCACCATTTGGTGTTTTTTTCTTTTTAATTACCTTATATCCCTGATGATTTGACATTCACAATGATGTATCTTTGTGTGAGTCTTTTTCAGTAATTGCAAAGATAAGTTGGCCCCATGTGACTTCAGCACAAATTGGAGCCTTACCACAATAGTACTTAATTCCTTTAATTTTAAATTTCTGTGATTATTGGAGACCTGTGGTTCTCTTTTCAACAGTATCCCCCTCTGCAAGAAATTAGGTTTCAACTTTCTCTGCTCACTCCTAGTGAGTGACCACTCCTCCACCTCCTTTCCATCTTGCCAAAATTTGTGAACTTTATTCTTGTCATGTACTCTTTTTTGCTGTAAACCTGTTTTTCCCTTATTATTTTAATAGAATTTCTCAAGGAAGCAGAGATTCATTCAACAAGTATTATTGGGTAAAGTAGGTCCTGCTTGAGATAGACCGTATTAAACATGGAGCTCATGTTTCATGTGCCTTAGTGTAGTGGAGATCCTAGTAATAAAAACAGGAAAAAATGGCTGAAATCTTATGTCACTTAGCAGTAAATGCCAGGAAAAAAATTCAGGAGAAGAGAATGACATCCATTATAGATAAATGATCAGAGAAAAGGCCTCAGAAGGGATGACAGTTTGGACAAAGATGAGGAGTTTGATCTATTATGTTTAACTGGCAGTCCAGATGTTCTTGTGAAGAAAGTGAAAATAACATACATCCTGGTTTGATTTCAATTCTATAGTTTTGTTTTCTCTCACAATTGGAAGAACTTTATTTTGAAACATTGTATTCTATATATAAGTGTAAAATATCAAATATTTCTAGGTCAAGGGAAAACTAAAACAAAAACCATCAAACACTAGAAAAATATGACACCTTATCTAAAATGTTAATAATCCTTAAAGTTACTAGTTTTTAGCTTTTCCTTTTTGTTTTATCTGTCTTTTTGCTCTTCAACTGAAACAAGCTGTAGAGGTTTTTAATGCCTAAGTATTTTCTGAATGCTAACTAGTAACTTTATTGAATGGTAATTTTATTGAAATGTTTTAAGCCAATCAGATTGCTTGAATTAGATTGCTTATATAAGAGATTAATATTTGCAGTTAAAATATCTTGATACTACTTGACATCTTAATTATCTTTAAATGAATGGGAAGGTTTCGATTTGCGCCTTGTTAGAAAGATTTCTAAATGTTAGTACCAGGTAATTTAAATCTGTAAAATGTTTAATTAATTTACTCTGATTAAAGTGTTTATCTGATTATAATGTTGCTAATTATTTTTAAATGGCTGTATTTTAGGTCCTGAAGAGCGACAGTTCAAGGGTTTAGGTGACTGTATTATGAAAATAGCAAAATCAGATGGAATTGTTGGTTTATACCAAGGGTTTGGTGTTTCAGTTCAAGGCATCATTGTGTACCGAGCTTCTTATTTTGGAGCTTATGACACAGTTAAGGTAATTTGGTACTTTAGTATATGTTAAATAGATTGTTTCTTTTTGTTGTTCTAATTAGTAATATGTTCAGCAAGTATGTTTACTTTTAATTATAGAAATCAAAATAAATGATGACATAAGAGACATTATAGCTTTCTGTTTAATCATGACTTTGCCATAACCTAATTAAATTATAACTCTATTATGAACCTGAATTCGGATATAAAGCATAAAGTATTTGTGCTGCTTGCACTGGAAGACTCAAATAGAAAACATGCTAGTTAGATTTATATCATAATTGAATATTTGGTATATAGGCAGGCATCTTCTAACAGTTATTTTCTAATTTTACATTCATTTTGTTATCACTTTTTTACATGGATATTATCAGTTTACTATCATCTTTGGAAAACAGGCAAGGCATAATAGTTAAATATGATAAATATGCTACTATAGCTCAGTGATCTGTTGGGTACTGTTAAATTTTGTGGTGTTCTCCAGGTTCTGCAATTTGCATTTTCATTTCAGATGTTAGTAGTGTTTCTGTAAGGTAGGAAACAAGAGATAGTAATAATGGCTGCCATTTTTTGATCTATTACTTAGTTTCAAGAACCTTGTTAAGGGCTTTACATCCAAACACTGTGAGAGCTTTTAGTATATCCCATTTTAAAAATAAATAACCTAGAAATGGCCGAGTAATTTATGTGGCAAGCACAGATCCCATGTTTTTAGCCACTATATCATAATGCTTCTAAAAAGAAGCAATGAAATTAATATCAGTACTATTTAGTATTAAGATTAAAACTTGAGGGAAATTTTATGATGGTGTTATATATTATCTCTGCTCTCCCTGTTCAGTACAGATGTAATTGAATGTCATTTTTATTGCAGTCTGGACATATTGCTTTTTGTTTTTAGTGTATTTTTTAGACAGATAGATTAATGGAAATTATAGGATGTTATATATGTTTATTTAATCACAGAAAAATTTATGTTTACTTTCCCTGTGCTTTTCTCTATTATCAGCTGTAGTTGAAATGTTTCTTCACTAGCTTAGAGCTTTAAAGCTTATCAAATGTTATCTGTCAATAGTCACAGGCATTCTTTCATCCTTTCCAACTCTATGAGAAAGAACAATGGAAGAATTTTTTTTTTTGGCCATCTCCTCTCCTTTTCAGTGCTGTTAATAACAAATTTCCTATAATTGCAGATATACTATTCTTTTTCAAATAAACTTTAAAAATATAGTGTGGGGTTCTCCTTTCTTATTGATTTCTTATTAATCTTTCCATACTAAATCCAACTGTTTATTGCATTTTAAATATAATTGAGCCTTCTTTTATATATATATATATATATATGTGAATTTTCCTTTGACTTAATAATTTAAGGTATTTTGGAAATTTAGATGGTTACTTGATAATTTTTCTTTTCTAGAGCTTATTACCAAAACCAAAAGAGACACCTTTTCTTGTCTCCTTTTTCATTGCTCAAGTTGTGACTACGTGCTCTGGAATACTCTCTTATCCCTTTGACACAGTTAGAAGACGTATGATGATGCAGGTATTTTATATTATTTGTAAGCTTAATTGAGTTTTCCAATATCTCTGATATTCAGGTGTAATTTAGAGACATTTCGACTAAAAGACATAGGCCCTTCGTTTTATTACTGAAATAAATATAATGATATGTTTTGTTGTGTTTCCTATCATAAGCAGTCATTCATCATCCAGCAAAGTTTCTTCCATGTCTACTATCAGAACAGCAATGTCTTTCTCTCCTGTAGTGTATATTACTGTTTGGAGAGTGGAGGGGCATGGCAGGGATTAGATGAGAATGTGTCTGACTTAACTGAATATTAGATTAAGTAGAATAAGCCCAGTCACAGGCCACTGACATACGTAATCATTTGTTTAGTATATTTTAATAAAAGTAAATGATTTTAACTCCAAGGAGGAAAACATATTTATAATGATGTATATTCTAAATGTAAATCCCCAGACCAGAATTTTGATACTATTGATCTCCATTGCTGATACTTCTTATATTCATTCATTTAGCAAATAATTGAGTGACTATTCACCCAGCTCTAGTGACACAAATGGGCTTCCCTGCTAGCTCAGTAAGTAAAGAATCTGCCTGCAGTGCAGGAGACCCAGGTTCAATCACTGGGTCAGGAACATCCCCTGGAGAAGAAAATGGCAAACCAATCCAGTATCCTTGCCTGGAAAATCCCTGGTGGGCTGCAGTCCATGGGATCGCAAAGAGTGTCACAACTGAGTGACACTTTCAGTGACACAAATAAAATAAGGCAGAACCTGCACCCAAACTCATAGCATACTATTGAAAGCATATTATTAATGGTTTAAATAGAAATGTGCATACGTTCCAAGAATGCAGTAGGGGAAGGGTACTCAAGTGCTTAAAAGTGATCAGATAGGGCCTCTTAAAGAGCTAAATCTCAGAAAATAGGCTTTTTCTCAAAATAGTGAGAGAACATTCTCAGCAGAGGGGAAAAAAACATACCTAAAGGTATGGCTTGAAAAGTATTTCAGTATAACCCATATATGATAGGTTTCATGAGGGCAAGTGAAAATAATGAGGCCAGCAAAGCTATGTTTATTATGTGGCAGAACTGTCCTCAGTATGTTACACTTTAATTCATTTATTCTCAAACTAATATGTGAGGTGTAGTTACTATCATTGTCCTCATTATCCTCTACAGAATGGTCTTGAAAGAACCCATTGGGCCACATGAAAGGGACCGTCAGTCAGTTCAGTCACTCAGTCGTGTCCGACTTTTTGCGACCCCGTGGACTGCAGCACGCTAGGCCTCCCTGTCTATCACCAACTGCTGGAGTTTACCCAAACTCATGTCCATTGAGTTATTGATGCCATCCAACCATCTCATCCTCTGTCGTCCCCTTCTCCTCCTGCCTTCAATCTTTCCCAGCATCAGGGTCTTTTCCAATGAGTCAGTTTTTCACATCAGGTGGCCAAAGTATTGGAGTTTCAGCTTCAGCGTCAGTCCTTCCAATAAATATTAAGGAATGATTTCCTTTAAGATGGACTAGCTGGATCTCCTTGAAAGGGTAAAGCATATCTAACCTATTTAACCTGTTGCTTCATATGGACTATCCTTAAAGTTGTTCCTTTTATATCTGGTTTCCTCTTGATCTATGTCTAGCTCTGGTTTAATTGAAAAACTTTTGAAAATAGAAAACTAATTTGTAAATAGACTGAATTAGGTAGATGGTTCAGTATCAATGTTAAATTGTCTGATTTTTATAACTACTTTGGGCATGTAGGACAATATACTTATTCTTAGAAAATTCACACTGAAATGTTTAAGGGGCAACTATGGCTGCAACTTACTGTCAAAATAATTCATAAAAAATTGTGGGTGTGGATTTATATATATGTGTGTACATCGTTATATATATAAAACATAGTACCACTGCCATAACAAAGTACCAAAGACTGGGTGGCTTAAACAACAGAGATTTATTTTCTAACAGTCCAGCAGGGTTGGTGTCTTCTGAGGGCCTCTCTCCTTGGCTTGTAGATGGCCTTCTCCCTTTGTCTTCTCATGGTCCTTTTTGTTTCTCTTCTTATAAAGATGATTAGTTTGGGTAAGGGCCCACTCTAATGAGTTCATTTAACCTTAATTATCTTTATAAAGACTCTATCCAAATATAGTCACAGTCTGCAGTTCTGGGGTTAGGTCTTTAATATATGAATTTTGTGAGGACACAATATGTGACACTGTTCTTTAAATTTTGCATTTGATTTTATATCCCACAACTTTGTTAAGCCTTATTATAAACACTTATCAGTATGTATACCCTTTGAAGTTTTTTTTTTTTTTTACACAGTGATATAATCTGCAAATAATACCACATTTGTCCCCCTTCTCTTATCAATTCTTATTCCTCTTATTCCTTTTCTTGCCTTTCTGTACTGGTTGAGACCTCTGATTCAGTGTTACTTTAAAGAAGTAATAACTGGCAACCTTGTTTTGTTCCTTGTCTTACAGAAAGTGCCTTCAGTTATAAAGTTTAATTAGCTGTGAATTTCTCAGTTATCTTTTATTATGTTATGATTTGTCCTTTCTGTTTTGGATTACAGTAATTTTTAATCATGAATAGTGGTCATTTTTTTTCCATATTGAGATGATCATATTATTTTCTCTTTTCATGTATTGATATATGTATTACATTAATCTATTTTCCACAGCTAAACCAACCTTATATGCCTGGGATCAATCCAGCTTGGTCATGGTGTATTATATTTTGTACCCTTTGCTAGGTTTGATTTGCTGGATTTGTTCAGGATTTTTGTATCCACTCTTTCTCTGACATAAGCTTGATATTTTTTTCCTTCTTGTATTATCCTAGTCTAACTTTGGTATCAGGCTGATATAATCATTATAAAATATGTTGCAGAGTCTCCCCACTTTTTCTCTTCCTTGGAATAGTTTCTGTGAGATTGGAATTAAATGTTCATTGAATATTTATTAGAACTCACATATAAAGCCATCTGGATATGTGGTTTTCTAATTTATGAGATTTTCAACAACTGATTGAATTTCTGTAACAAATTTAGTGTTAGTCCAGTATTTTTTCCTACTCTGTTGGTAAATTATACCTTTAAGGAATTTATTTATTCTGAGTTTTCAAAATGTAATAAAAGTTGTTCATAGTATCATGTTGCTCTCTCTTAATCTCTGGGTCATTTGCAGTGATGTTACCTTTGCCACACCTAATAATTTAAGAACCTTTTCTTGTTTTTCCTGAAACAATGTTTCTAGAAATTGGTCAAAGTATTTCAAATAAGTTTTTGTTTTTTATTCTTTCTGTTGCATTATTTCCTTTTTTTCTGGTGGTTCAAGTTACCATTCAGACTACATCTTACAAATTTATTTGAGGCATTTTATGGTTATAAGTAAGTTTTACAAATTTTCTAAGATATTTTTGTTAACACCCAAGTACAATATATTTCTAGTTTGTTTTTGTTTTTGTTTTTTTTGCTGTTGATTTCTCACTTAATTACAGTGTGGTGAAATGATAAAATCATGTTATGTGATGCCATATTTTAAAATTTGTTAAGCCTAATATTTGGCCATTTTTAAAGTGTACCTGAAAAAGTATGAGTATTCTCCAGTCAGTGGGAACAGTATTCAGTATATGACTGTTAACTCAACATACTTATTCAACACAGTATTAATTTTAATCTATCCTTAGTGCTATATAAAATGTCTTATGATAAAAGATACTAAGATAATGGCAAACTGTTTGTCTTTATATAGAGTGGTGAGGCTGAACGGCAATATAAAGGAACTTTAGACTGCTTTATGAAGATATACCAACAGGAAGGAATTGGTGCATTTTTTCGTGGTGCCTTCTCCAACATCCTTCGTGGTACAGGGGGTGCTTTGGTCTTGGTATTATATGATAAAATTAAAGACCTCCTTAATATTGATATTGGAGGTAGTTCATCAGGAGATTAAATTGAGAAATGGATATAGTTAACTTCTTAAACATACAAATTACATAGCTGCCATTTGTGTACATTTTGATAGTGTTATTACTGTCAGTATTTTCTTAAAGTGTTAATTCTGCAATAAAGCAAAGGCTTTTTTCAAGGATTTAAATAGTAAAAAAGCAGATAAATGCAGTTTCTTTCCTATTTAGATTCAAACTCACTTTAATGAGACATTTTACTTACTATAAGTGGTACATTTTTTTTTATTAGTTTAAAGTCTTTTTCTTACTTTTGTGATAAAAAAGGTAAAATGTATAATGCTAAAATCTAAGAAATGAAAGTATCTTCTCTTAAAATTATATTATTTTAACTGTCTCCCTATCTTTTGAAATCATATGATATGACAAGTATTTCTTAAAAGCTTATCAAGAGATGTCATCATGATATCTATGGGCATAAGTAAGCTTTCTTCTACAACATCTCTACTAAAGAAGCTCAGGTTGTTACTATGTATAGTGTTTATGGTATCATATAGCTTTTAATAAGCACAGATTCTATATCTGATTATAAGAAATGCTAATGACTTTAATGACACTGTAAACCTGTAGTTGGAAAGTGAAAGATATAAAGATGGCATATCTGCTAGCTTTTATCTTTAAGATAAGTAAAATCTTGCTAAATGTGAATGTATCTTAGAACAAAAATTATTCCCTTGAAAATTAAGTTTGCGTATTTTGTATTGATGAAAATAAAAAAGTTTAAAACTGGCTATGCCTGAGCCTTATTTTCCTTGATGCTAACATTATTAATAAGCATAGAGTAACCCTAAGAAAGGCAATCCCAAAGAATGCTCAAACTACCGCACAATTGCACTCATTGCACACGCTAGTAAAGTAATGCTCAAAATTCTCCAAACCAGGCTTCAGCAATACGTGAACCGAGAACTTCCAGATGTTCACGCTGATTTTAGAAAAGGCAGAGGAACCAGAGATCAAATTGCCAATATCTGCTGGATCATCGAAAAAGCAAGAGAGTTCCAGAAAAACATCTGTTTCTGCTTTATTGACTATGCCAAAGCCTTCAATTGTGTGGATCACAATAAACTGGAAAATTCTGAAAGAGATGGGAATACCGGACCACCTGACCTACCTCTTGAGAAACCTGTATGCAGGTCAGGAAGCAACAGTTAGATCTGGACATGGAACAACAGGGTTCCAAATAGGAAAAGGAGTATGCCAAGGCTGTATATTGTCACCCTGCTTATTTAACTTCTATGCAGAGTACATCATGAGAAACGCTGGGCTGGAAGAAGCACAAGCTGGAATCAAGATTGCCGGGAGAAATATGAATAACCTCAGATATGCAGATGACACCACCCTTGTGGCAGAAAGTGAAGAGGAACTAAAAAGCCTCTTGATGAAAGTGAAAGAGCAGAGTGAAGAGGTTGGCTTAAAGCTCAACAGTCAGAAAATTAAGATCATGGCATCTGGTCCCATCACCTCATGGGAAATAGATGGGGAGACAGTGGAAACAGTGTCAGACTTTATTTTTGGGGGCTCCAAAATCACTGCAGATGGTGACTGCAGCCATGAAATTAAAAGACACTTACTCCTTGGAAGGAAAGTTATGACCAACCTAGATAGCATATTAGAAAGCAGAGACATTACTTTGCCAACAAAGGTCCATCTGGTCAAGGCTATGGTTTTTCCAGTGGTCATGTATGGATGTAAGAGTTGGACTGTGAAGAAAGCTGAGCACCAAAAAATTGATGCTTTTGAACTGTGGTGTTGGAGAAGACTCTTGAGAGTCCCTCGGACTGCAAGGAGATCCAACCAGTCCATCCTAAAGATCAATCCTGGGTGTTCAATGGAAGGACTGATGCTGAAGCTGAAACTCCAGTACTTTGGCCACCTCATGTGAAGAGTTGACTCATTGGAAAAGACCCTGATGCTGGGAGGGTTGGGAGCAGGAGGAGAAGGGGGCGACAGAGGATGAGATGGCTGGATGGCATCACTGACTTGATGGACATCAGTTTGTGATGGACAGGGAGGCCTGGCATGCTGCGATTCATGGGGTTGCAAAGAGTCAGACACGACAGAGCAACTGAACTGAACTGAACCAAATTTTTATCAGAATTGGGAACTGGCTTAAAGACGAAGCAGAGTTTTCAGGGTTTTGTACAGGAGTCTGTTTGGTTTTTCAGAAATGTTGTAGAAGATAGTACAATTGAAATCCCCAAGATTTTAAAGTTTTAGTGGGTAAAGGAATGTTAAGCTAGTGGGGATAAACTTTAGAAAGATTTTATGAGGCAATGACTGGGTAAAACCAAAACAGGGTGAGTGAACTTCCTGGTGCACAGGGCAAAGTATATTTCAAGGAAAATAATCCAAAGTATACTTTGTAGTATATTGGGTGCTATCACTTGAGAAAAAAAGTTAACTGTTTTGAAAACTCTTAACATGATTTCTTGCAGAGGTCAACATAACACAAAAAGTTAAATAACAAGATAGATGTTTTTCTTTCCTTCTATACTATCAGTAATTCTGTTACTACAAAAAAGATTTAAGATGTACCAACACAGTTAAAATAATAAGATATTAGTAACAGTGTCCCATACAAACATAAACTAAGAAAAGAAAAGTTTTCAGCTTATTCAGGGACATGCTTAGAAGCAAAAAGTCTTTAAAATCCTGAATGGCATCCATAGAGAACAAACAGGAATTTAATGACTAAATCGCTAGACCAAAAGTGTATTCTTTGAAGGCTGGAACATGTATATAGTTAGGACAAAAGAAAATGAAATGTTACCTAGGGGACTGAAACAACATGCTGTGCCTACCAGCCACATGATTACAATAAAGCTGAAAGGTTGGAAGGGGTTTTATTTAAAAGGAGAAACTAAGATAGGCACCAGACCATAGTACATAATGAGGATTGCCAACTACCTCAAGCAACAAGTTGGAAAAAGGAAAGTCATCTGTGAGAAATTAAAACCCCGAGGCTTGAGCCCCAACAAAAAGTTCCGAATATTTACATAAACACTGTCTGTGATACAGGAACTCCAACCTGAATAATTAAAACTGTTCCAGGGCCAGTGAGACTTCCGCAGGGCTCTGACAGAAACAGATAACAAAACCTCTCTGGGACACTTCTGTGACCCAGGGCACACAAAATATCCCACAGAAAAAACAACCTTACTGAAGGTGAATTTATAGTGAAAACATGAATCTCATGCGGGAACAAGCACTGTGTGGAAGAGCTGGTAGGTATTATACAGTCAGAATTAGCACCCCGAGAACTAAAAATGTGATAAAATACTCTCAAAGGCTCTAGAGTTAGAATGTTTAAAATGACTAATAAATTTTTTAAAGGAAGCAATACAAATAGTGCAGTTAAAAAAAGAACAGGCAAGTCTGAAAGAACATCTAGAAATGGTAGAGTGAAATGAAAAACATGACAAAAAGCTAAGAGTCATGTTTGAAAGAACATCTAGAAATGGTAGAGTGAAATTAAAAACATGATGAAAAGAGTTAAGAGTCATAGAAGTTAAAGAGTCCCTACACATTCTAATAGGAGATCCAAAGACACTGCAAAGGGGTGAGAGGCAGTAATCAAAGGACAATGACTGAGACTTCTCCAGAACCTGAAAAGTTCATCCATCCTCAGGTTAATAAAAAAATTCTGAGTAGACTTTATCTAATAAAATCCATAGTAGATGCATCCTAATGAAACTACAAAATGAAATAATGAGATAAAACTCATATCTTGGAAAGGAACAATATTTAGACTCATCAATAATAATGGATGCCAAAATATAAGGGACAGTTACTGTCAATCAAAAATTCTCGACAACCAAGTTGTTATTCAAAAGTTAAGGTAAATCGGAGATACCACAACATTGTAAAGCAATTATCCTCCAATAAAAGAAATTTTTTTTTACATTAAAAGATTTTTAGACAAAAATGTTCACCATTCAGAGACCTTTACTGAAACAATTACTGAAAGAAAACTGAACCCAGATGGAAAGAGGGATGCCAAAGCAGTCAAGTAAACAAATTGGTAAACATATTGGTAAACTTAGACAAACCCTGGCTGTAAAAGACTTTTTGGTGGGAGAGGTAACATAACTTGGTAAATTTGGGGATAATCAGTTTTCTTGGGAGCCTACACACATTTTGGTCTCTTCCTCCTTAAAATGTTTCAGGGGCAGACCCCAATGTATACAAAACTAGGTGTATTATTATAACTAGGTAGGTACATCTGCTTAATTCTGGAGTGCAGTAATTACAAACCCACAGACACATTTCTCTAGTATCAGTATTATCAGTAAAGCTGATAAGGAACCAAGAAAACAGATTCAAATAAACAATATTGAGAAAGTTGGATACATAGCTGTGGAAGGGATTTTTTTAAATGAATAATCAAATTTATGCCAACAAACATGAAAACCTAGATGAAATGGTCACTTTTCAGTAAAAATATAAATATTGATACAAGAAATAGAAAACATAGACTATATACCCTAAAGAAACTTAACCCATGGTCATAAATCTGCTTGTAAACTCCAGGTCAAAATGGTTTTCAGGCTTGTCTTTGCAAAACCTTGCCAGAGAAAAGAAAAAGAGGAAACATTCTCAACTTCTTTAAGCTAGTATAATCTTGATATTAGCAAGAAGAATAAGGGAAAATTAAACCTCTCAGATATAAACATTCTAAATAAAATAATCAAAAGGTAAATCAAATGTATCTAAAACAGAACCATCATGGATGGCCTAACAGGTTTATCCTAGGAGTGCAGCAATTAGAAATCTATTCAGAAATATGAATTAGAAAATCTGCTCATATTATTCGCCACATTAACTGATGAGAAAAATCATTTCAAAATATAGATGATGCATGGCATTTGTTAAATTTTAGTATCCACTTAGGAGAAACCTCTTAGCAAGGAAAAGAGGATAAATCCAGGTTCTCTAATGTCAGCGTGGATGTCTTTAATGTTAAGCACAAAACAAGGATGCTCACCATTACAGCTTGTAATCTTCATTGTGCTACTGATGACCATAGGCAACATAAGAGAAAACAAGAAGATTAAAAATGAAAAAAGTTATTTCCCAGGCCATATGGTTCTATATACAGAAAAGCCAGGAATCTCTAGGAATATTAGAATTTATAAGAATACACAAGGATTGCTGGGTATGCTGATCAATATACATAACTCCACAAAATTCCTACACTGCAGCAGCAGGTGAGCATATCTACCATATATTGGCCTTTTTGGTGCCAGGCACTGTGCCTATGCTCACATTATACAATAATAATAACAGTCTCATAGTTAGATGTATCGTCTTCATTTTAACAGGTTTTAAACCTAGGGCTTGGTGGTTAAGTAACTTGCCAGAGGTCCTACCACTAGTAAGTTAGACCAAGCTGGGACCACAACCCAATCCTTGTGACCCACCAAACCTGTCGTACTTTCAGACAGGAGGTGCTCTCATTTCCTCCCAGAAATTGTAAAGAATGTAATAATAGTAATCTCTTGCTCCTGACCCCAGTTGTTTCTTTTTTACTCTGATCTTTTAAGTGTTTTCTAATAGGAAAATTATTCTCAAACTCTCAAGTTGTACAGAAAGCAATGGGGAGCTAAATGGTCCTAGGAGAATTTCAGGATATCCTAGAATAAATAGATGGTGGCAGGCCTAACGGAACGGTAGCTCCAAGGGGAACTGAGAACGGGTACAAGCCGGGGGCCGCCCAGCAGCACTGGGGC